AAAAGCCAGGGAACTAATTGTGTCCATCACAGTTTACACTCTGGGGGTATGTCTACACTGCCACCCTAGTTCGAACTAGGGTGGCTAATGTAGGCATTCGAACTTGCAAATGAAGCCCGGGATTTAAATATCCTGGGCTTCATTTGCGTGTTCACGGGCGCGCCATTTTTAAATGCCCCGTAGTTCGAACTACCTGCCCGCAGCTACACGCAGCATGGGCTAGGTAGTTCGAATTAAAGCTCCTAATTCGAACTACCGTTAAACCTCCTTTCAGGAGGAATAATGGTAGTTCAAATTAGGAGTTTTATTTCGAACTACCTAGCCCATGCTGCATATAGCTGCGGGCAGGTAGTTCGAACTATGGGGCATTTAAAAATGGCGGCGCCTGTGAACACGCAAATGAAGCCCAGGATATTTAAATCCCGGGCTTCATTTGCAAGTTCGAATGCCTACATTAACCACCCTAGTTCAAACTAGGGTGGCAGTGTAAACATACCCTAGGCTACTCCTGGGGCAGTGCAGCTATGCAATGTTAAGAGCTAGGTGGTATTATTGAACACTTCCCTTTACTTGGCAGCAGCTTCCAAAGTTACAGTCCCATCTTTGAATAAAATAGTCCTATGGCATCTTAAAGAATAAGGGTGCGTCTACACTGCACTGTAACTCGAAATAAGATGTGCATGGGATAGCTATTTCAGGATACTCTGATATCTGATGAAGTGGCTTTTACTCTCAAAAGCTTGATCCCAAATAAATGTTGTTCTTTCTAAGTGATTTTTATCCATGAAACCTTAAGTCCCAGAAATTCTGCTACTCTTTAAGGTGCCACAGGAGTCCTTGTTAGTCTGTTATCTGCAAAAACAACACAACTACCCTGCTGAGACTTAATCCCATCTTTGTTATAAATTCTTTTGGCTGGTGAGCTTTGAAAATCTCTGTTCAGGACCCTCCAAAGTTATGGAGCTATACAGATGTTTATCAAAAATAACCAAAATAATCCATATGTTTACATCAGGGGAGAAAGTGTATTTTAATATGTTAGCAAACTAACTAATGTAAACAAAGCAGTTACAGTTTTAACATGATTTGGTTGGTGGCGTAAATCATTACCTCATCCAGCAAACACAGGTTAAAACTACAGCTGCCTTGTCTACTCTGGAATTTTAACATGTTTGCCAACACATTTTCCCCAAGTGATGACAAGGTCTAATTGTATGTAATATTGTGATTACTGGTATGAAGGTTTAGGAATATGTTTTCTAGAACGGTTGTACTATATTGTGTGTAAAGGAGAATCTGGCAATATGTTGTTTTTGCTTACAGCAGGACTACTCAACTTTGGAAGCTGTGGGGGACACAGTGATACTCATAGCACATGCTGAGGGCCGCAATTTAAGTGTGGTTGCATATACATGCAAATATATATATGCAAACAGCTTCTTTCACACTGATGAGCATGAATACAAAGATTAAGACAAAACTACACAATACATAAGCCCTATTTAAGTCAATTCTGCTGATATTAATAAAATGCAATATTTACCCAATTTCCACCCATATAACAGCACTTTTAATGAGCAATGACAGTCCAGGAATTTAACTACTAAAACGCATATCAACAGAAGACCATTATATTGACTATTTTTTGGCTTTGGCTCCCACCCGCGGGCCACATGTTGAGCCCCGCGTAAATCCAAACCACACCGCAGGCCGCAAACAAACGGGCCGTGGGCCGCATGTGGTCTGCAGGCAATGTGTTGAGTAGCTTCTGGCTTACAGGAACAAACTTGTGAAAGTAACCTTAATAGCTAAGAAGACACTATTTAAAGTGCACTCATACATAGAATACTTTAGATATTTAATTGGGTTATGTTAATACATTTTTACCTCCTGATTAAATCTGTTCTTTAGATTTCTGTAGCTGTTTTATCCAGTTTAAAGTAGGGATGTAATAATGAGGTCGATTAACCAATAAGCAAAAGCTTATAGGTTAATCCTATAGACTATATGCATTTTCTCCCCACCCCATCGCCAGTAAACTTCTTAGCAGGCTAGCCAGCGGACATGCTCAGTCCTGGGTCACGCCAGTTCCGGAACCTACCCCAGCTTTGGCTCTGTATTTAAAGTGTATTAGGAGCCAGGTAGGCAGCTCAGCTCAGTTCCACTATGAGGCAGCAGTGTGGGGTGACAGGCAGCCAGTCCACAAGGGGAGCTGGTTTTTAAACTGGCTCCCCTCACAAACCAGCTCCCACTTGGCACCCCACGCTCCTGCCTCTGATACAAAGGCAGCAGCGTGGAGTTGCAGGCTGGCTCCTCACTGGCTGCCAGCTCCACCCCTGGGAACTATAGATTAGTCGAGTAACCGATAAGAATTCATGAGGTTACTTGACTAGTCAAGTAACCAATATTTAGCATCCCTAGTTTAAAGAATAAACAGTGTATCAGGGATACAGTGGTAGCCAGTGAATAGAACTGAATTAAAAATAGTTGACTTATTGACTGGCCTCCACGCATTGCTACCCTTACTGCTTTAGTGTATGACTATTGTTAAAAGATGGGAGAATATTAAACTCCCATTGAGAAATGAAAAATGAGAGTTATATGCTAAAAAGTAGTTTTCAGACAATCCTTTAGAGAAGAACCATAAACAATATGATATAAGCAGTTGCTAACTTGCTGGGGATTCAGTGTAAAAAAGGAAAGGACTGGATAATTCTATTTAATTAAAAACAGAAGCCCTTATTTGTTGTCTTTATAGTTAGAGTGTAAAGACAACTAACTTCTGATCAGTTTAGCTGCACGTAGCAATACAGTGCCTCTTTCATGCAATCACCTGTGGCTATTGTACTTCCGCCATCACCCTGTTTCTAGCCTCCAAGTCTCTTCCCTTTCTCATTTTTACTTATGTGCATCAAACCTAATCAGTCTAGACTTCAGCCTATGCTGCTGCTTTCACAAAGTTGTTATAATAAATGCTCACTCTTCCCTCCTAGGGGATTGAGCCTTGTCCATTATTTGGTGGGAAGGAGGAATAGATATCCTTTGCAACTTGGATATTTCTTGTCTATCTGTTGCATCTGACTAAGTGGGTCTTTGCCCACGAAAGCTTATGCTCCAACACTTTAGTTAGTCTATAAGGTGCCACAGGACTCTTCGCTGCTTTTGCAGATTCAGACTAACATGGCTACTCCTCTGATACTTGTCTACACTCCCTTCTATGGCCGAGTACAAAAAGGGACAGTAGATTTTCATGTTAGGGAAGAGTAAGTCCATCTTGCAGAAGGAGGAGGCAAGGGGAATGCTCTCCCCTCTCTGTATCTCTAGCAGGAGCTCTTGAATGCTGGAGTGCATGTTGGTGTTCTCTTGGAAAGATGGGGGAGAAGGAGCCACAAACAGCTTTATTAGCTTGGGTCTTGATCTTGTAAAAACAAACAAACCCCAAAACTATAGAAGCTGCATCATTCATGTCTTTAATTGAACCAGTGCAAGTTTGTGTGTGGATGTTCCCATGTCAGTTTAAACCTAGTTTATATCACTTTAGGTGGAACTACTTGAGTAAAGTTAAGCATCTACATAAAACTTTGCTGGATTGGGACCTTGATGCTGTCTGTTATAAAGATGTTAAGGACTAGTCAACTATCCGATATGCATTTGCTGTCGACTAGTCGATTTCCCACCCCCTTGCAGCCTCTATCAGATAGGGGCAGCAAAAGGCATGAAGGGGTACTTCAAAGTGGCAGCACCAGACAGCTGAGGCGGGGATCAGCTGTGTGGCAGTGCCACTTTGAAACCTCAAGGCAGCATTTCAAAGGGGTAGTCGCTGCACAGCTGACCTGCAGCGCAGCTGTGCTGCGCTGCCCCTTTAAAACGCCGAAGTGCCATGGAGCCCAGGGTCAGCTGGGGTCTCCCCAGCTAACCTTGGGTTCAGAGCAGCATTTCCCCAGACCTCCGGAGTCAGCTCTGAGTCTCCTGCTGACCCTAGGCTCCATGGCTTTGAAATGCACAAGAGCCCCTGCTGGGGATTCTTGTACATTTCAAAGCAGGCACCTGCATGCAGCCTGGAGTTAGCGGGACTTCCTGCTGGCCCCGGACTGCATGCGCAATTCTGCATTCCCTCCAGTGGGGGCTCTTGTACATTTCAAAGGAGGAACGCGAAAGTGTTCATCGACTACTCGACTAGTCAATTAACCACACTTTAACATCCTCAGTATGTTACAGCAGAAGTTTTTGGTATTTGTCAGTTCACATGTGTATCTTTCTTTTAACTTACCCTCTTAGTTTATAAAACTCGTCTTTGGACTCCGCTGAGTCACAGTTAACTGTACAAGAGAGGACTACTTAACTAATTGCATGGGCATTCCATTCCACCGGAAGCATGGCTACTTAAAAGAATTTTGAGGGACAAGGTGTTATGTAATATGGAAATGTAAAATTTAGAAGTTTCTTATGAATTACAAATCTTCTTCATCATTTTATACTGGTGACCTTATATCACTTTTTTTCCTTGCTCTTTCCAACAAGCCTTGTCTCTGAGATTTCCTTGTTTTTCCACCTGTTGGCCTTCTGTGAGTTTGTCTAGGGAAATTTCAGAGCATGTTGTAATTATGTAAATAAAACAAATCTGTCCTGTGAATTTCAGCCTCTTTCAAAATACAAACAAAATATTATTTGTCAAGTGGAGGATATATGTGGTAGGGGAAATTGTTTTAAAAATCACAGTGTCACAAAATATGAAAGGAAAAAGCTCAAACATATTAGCTAGCATAATAGTGTTTAGACATTATATAATAATGTGATAGCCTTACTTAAATTTATAAAATGGCGTATGAACTTGAAGATTTAGCTGTCCAGCTGTCAGCTGCAACTCTGTGTACTATGTGTGCTCCTTAAGAGCATGGAAGGGTGAGCAAATAAAATTGTCCTCTTGTTCTGAAGCAAAAGGTAATAACAAAAGACTGTAGTTTAGTAACTCGTGAATTTTTTGTGTAATCATCATTTAGGGTGAAAAATTTGGCCCATTTGCAGGGGAGAAGCGAATGCCTCAAGAACTGGATGAAAACACAGACTGCAGACTGATGTGGGAGGTGAGAACTATGGGTAGGGTGACCATATATCCCTATGCCGAATACTGGATACCTGGTAAAATTGCTTGGACTGATTGCCGTTCAACTTTAAGTCAGAACTATGCGGTACAAATGTTCAAAATAACATTAAGTTGACTGAGCATCCATTAAAAAGACATCCTGCATTATTATAACTAAAATGGTAAAAAATTAAAAATATATACTTGCAATTAAGTGGTTACTGCTCTTTAGAAGTGCCTGCCTTGTCCTCATCTTCCTGTCCTCCGCAGTGTGGGCTGGTAGTTTGAGAGGGAGCTGCAGGAATCGGGACGGGGGCTGTGTGTGTGTGGGAAGCTGCAAGAGTTAGGGCTGGGAATGTGAGGGGGAGGGCATGAGGCTGGGTGGGAGTGCAGGAATCAGGGTAGGAGGGTCGGTGTGTATGGGAATGAAGGAGGCTGGAGTACAGGTGCAGGAGTCAGGACGGGGATTGAGAGTGAGGGGAGAATGTGGGGGAGCTCTGCCTCGGGCTTCCTGTAGTCAGCATCCTTGGGGATGCCTGGGGCAGAGCAGCTGGGATACTGGAGCAACCCAGCAGCACCCCAGCTGCTCTGCCCCAGGCGTCCTGATTCAGCCACTGCTGAAACTGACCAGCAGTGGCTG